GTGATTTTTAATTGAAGCCTCAACATTTTGGGTATTATGTTATTAGACTTCAGATCTGACTTAAGTCTTCTATTATGGCAGGTCTCTGCTGGCACTGCAAGAAGCAAGTAAAGATGGGCACTACCTTATTTCTGGCAGGTGCATATCGAAGGTGGAAAGAAATTGGGGCTCCCCAGACTCCAATGACCCTAGTGAGTAAGAATTCAGCCTCTCTCGTGACCTCCCAGGGTTTGGACTACCCTTTCTAAACATGGGGTTCCTAGACACTGTACCTTATCTGGCCTCATTACCACTGAGTGTGGTGAAATTCCTGATTCTCTCTAGTAGTATTCCTCTGACGCCAACCCAGCAGGAAGGGGGGGTGGAGGGAGGTACTTTGTTGCCACCCTGCAGAAATGAGACTCCAGACCCCTCACCTGACCTTCTCTGATACCACCCAGCGGAGTGTCACCTCAATATATTAGTAGTTGTTAAGGGCAAATATCTAGTTTCCCCATCTGGCTTTTGACAGCAAGAGTGAGGGTGGAGGTTCCAGTTCTCTTAGTGTTCTATCTGGTGGAATCTCCCTCTCCTGGTCTTTCAACTAGAAAGCACTTTTTCTCCATTGAATAATATTCTGCTTCCCTTAGAAATATCAGTCAATGTGTTACCAGCATAATTAGCTAGTTATTAATAAAGAATCTATTCTACCAAAACCGGTTTAGCTCAGTGGATAGAGCGCCTGCGGACTGAATTGCCATATTACTTTCTTTGAAAGAAGGAAAGTTTATAATTCATCATTACTGGTGAAATAAGCATCAAAAATAAAACTGATGGTCCTTTAAATGACATATGGAAACATTATTTTTGACTGAAACATGACAGGACAAATCTTTCGATGAAATTTAGATAAGAAAAATTTGAGCTGCCGAGACCAGTTTGGCTCAATGAATAGAGCATCGGCTTGGGGACTGAGGGAACCCGGGTTCGATTCCGGTCAGGGGCATGTACCTTGGTTGTGGGCACATCCCCAGTAGGGGGTGTGCAGGAGGCAACTGATCGATGACTCTCTCTCATTGATGTTTCTGGCTATCTCTCTCCCTTCCTCTCTGTACAAAATCAATAAAATATATTTTTTTTTAAAAATGAGCTACAGAAATTAAAGATGGTTGAAATAAAGGGATAAAGAAAAAAATCATGCCTGGCTGGTGTCACTCAGTGGTTGAGCACTGACCTATGAACCAGGAGGTCATGGTTCAATTCAGCACCTGCCCCAGTTACAGGCTCAATCCAGTAAGGGGTGTGTAGGAGGCACCCAATTGATGATTCTCCCTCATCATTGATGTTTCTATCTTTCTCTCCCACTCCCTTCCTCTCTAACACTAATAAAAACATACTTTAAAAAAAGAAAAAAAACTCACAATGGCAGAAACTTTAATTGATGAGATTTTATTTAGAGAACAAAGGTTCTGATATTAAATTCAACAAATTTGAATATAATCTCTCTATACAAAGGCTAATATGCTAAATGTTTGACCGTCTGACCAATCGCTATGACGCCCACTAACCACCAGGGGGCAGACACTCAATGCAGGAGCTGCTGAGCTGCAGTGACTTGGCAGTGGCAATTCTTGGGTGACACACCCCAAAACCAGTGAGAAGGGAACCCAATTCCTCACGAGCTGCACAATTCCACCATCAGCTGTGAGTTATGTTGTTGCTGGGGCACTGTTAGGCAGAATCTGGTTTACTGCACACTTGCATTTGGGTTCCACACCCAGTATGACAGCAACTTTGCAGAGTGCCCTCTCACACTCTGGACCCCTCAGGGGACGTTGGAGAGCCCCAATCCCTGCAGGCCAGGCTCAGGGACCCCACCTGCCAGTGGGACCCTACTCACTCTGAAGACACTGGGGAAGGACTACGGAAGGCTGGCTCCAGCAAGTGTCCAGCCCGGTCCATTTCATCCAGTCCATCCCTGCCAGCCAGCTTCTAATTAATTTCCTTTCAGTGTGCACTAATCTGTGCACCAGATCACTAGTAAATCTAAGTTATGAAACAATTCACATGATCCCCCATGGAATTATAGCTTAGTGTTTTTTAATGGAAACATTTAGAAACTACTTAACTGTGCCATATACAAGAACTGGCCGCCAAAACCAGTTTGGCTCAGTGGATAGAGCATCAACCTGCAAACTGAAGGGTCCCAGGTTTGATTCCGGTCAAGGGCATGTACCTTGGTTGCGGGCACATCCCAGGAGGGGGTGTGCAGGAGGCAGCTGGTCGATGTCTCTCTCATCATCGATGTTTCTAACTATCTGTCTCCCCTCCTCTCTGTAAAAATATCAATAAAATATATATTTTTTTAAAAAAAAAGAATTGGCCAAGAAACCAAACTAACTTAATGTAATCTTTTCCAGAAATTATATTCATGAAAATATAGGAAGGTGATACACATATTATCAGTGTTACACATATTAATAAATCATTAACAGTTTCAAAAATCATTAACAGCAACTTGCCAGTAATCTTGCAGTTTATAAGGTGCTTTGTAAAGAAATGAAAAAATCTAAACTCTGTGAAAGCTACTCTGGTGAGACCTCAAGAGAAAAAAAGGAGACTTTATCTTTAGACATTTAAATCAAACAAATAAAATAGTTAAGGGTTTCTCCTTCCTCTCTCAAGAACACTAGCTGAAGCATTGTTAAGTATAAACTGTGAAGTCAATGCATTACCAAGAGTCTATCTCTTGGTTATACAATGTGCAAATTTGCAGTAACAACCTTCCTTTCACCTCACAGTGCATTTTCTCTTAATAGCACACCTCAGCCACTGTACCTCAAATAGGAAATTAGCAGTCTTCTTCACAATTTTTAAAAACCTCACCTTCTGTCCTTCACAGAGAGCTTTTAACCCATCACTCATCTCCATGAACCACATGGTATTGTGCACTTTGCCTACTATTGTCACTTCACTAAACAGTCCAAACATGGGTAATCTTTCCCCACTGATCAATTTCCAACCATACATTCAAACTATTGTAAATTATAAATCTGGAAAAAGTTTGGTTCTCTGAAATCTGGCATCAAATGGAGCTTTTCCATATTAAGTGATTTTATTTTTCTGTAATTTTCTAAAGTCTGTGCAGTCATATCTCAGAATGGAGTTCATGTGCCTATGCTTTACATTAACTAGTAACACTAAATTATCCAGAAAATTCAGGTTCTGCCTCTTCCTCGAATTTCAGCTATAGCCACCATCCTTCCAAAACTAAGTCTGTGGGTTCCTTTAGTTTTAACCTTTTCAATTTCTTCTTTTTTTCTTGTTGTTAATCTGTCACGTTTTTTTCCCTGAAACTTTTTATTTTTACTTTACTCATCTCTTCATTCACGTCCCACCTTTCCCCAGCAGGCATCACTAGTCCCAGCACCACTTCCTTCCTTTCACAGCAGACCCTGCATGGAAAACAAGCTATTGGCCCAGGAGCTAAAGTATCTATTGTCTTGACTTCAGTGTTAGTTTAAATTCTATTTAAACATTTGATAACTGGTTTAGAGCAAGGAAGGAAGCATACTTAACAAAGATGTCCTGTGTCGAGGTCTTTGCAGGGTCATATTATAACATAACCTTCTCAATAACAAAACGAGGCTAGGAATGGTGGCTGAGGAATTTCCTTGCCTAAGGTCGCATTGCTATTATTATATGTGGCCAGGGTCCACTACTCTCCTGTTTCCCTGGGCAGAACTAACAGAAATAAGGGGGGATGGTCACCGCGTTACCCCACCTGTGTCAGACCATTCACAAGGGACTGGCTCACCAGCCGCTGGCCCGGAGATGCCCAAGCCTAGACAGCGAAGGGAGCGTGCAGAAGGTGCCCAGAAATGACCTGGGGTATGCGACTCCCTGGAGAATTTGCTTATTCCCAAGTGGGCTATTCAGGGGGCACCTCTAAGGTCAAACGTGTAGACCAGCACACTGGACTTAAAAAGACACCCCTTTAAACCCAAATTACGGAAACTTCCAAACCAGCAGCGCTCTCTCACGTCGGCACCGCTTCCCAGGGCAGAGCCGAGGGGCGCTATGGGGGAACCGGCTCTCCAGGCCTCAACGCACCTGCCCGTGCCATGCGTGCGGAGGGTGGGGTGCGGTCTTCCCGGGAAAGGTAACCGTCACCGGCGCGCACGGCGACGCCAGGCACCGCTGCGGGGCTCAACGCACCCTCCCCGACCCTCAGCAGCGGCAGGGCTGGAGCACAAAGTGGGGGGACGCACGGGAACGGATGGGGGCAGCGAAGTCCGAGGGCGGGCTTCGGGAGGCGCGGAGTGACCGGGCCCCACAAGCATACCTCTACCCCGGGGCGAAGCCGCAGACCGCTGCACCGGGGCAGCCCGTCCCGGAAGAAAAATGGCGGCCCGGCACTCACCAATCACGCCGCCGCCGCGCCCGCCGGCCTTGCGCTGCCACCGTCGCTTCCCAGCCACACGGCGCCAGCGACCGACGCGGAGACACAGGATACAGACTCAGCCCTGACGCGTCCTCCACCACCCGGCAACCTGATGATCCGCACTTCCGGCGCCGTCGGAAGTCCCGGCCTCGCCCCGCGCAAAGCACGCCGGCAATCCGGCCCATAATGCCGGAAACCCGGGAGACCACGCCCACTTTGAGCTACCGGAAGTCCCGCCCATCACCTATAAATTCCACTTGGCCTCCCGGCACCCGTGCCGCCGGAAGTCTCGCCTGACTTCCCCCCACTCCCACCCCCCCCCCCCCCCCCGCCTTGCTCGCACCGCCGGAAATTGCGCTCGGACTCCGCCTCTCATCGGAACTCCCGCCTCTCGCTCGCCGGAAATCCCATTCCACAGCCCGTGCCCACCGGGTCGTTGGCTGGATGAGTCGGGGGTCGTTTGCGAGGTGGGCGGGGGCATGATGGCGTTCCTTGTCCGCGATGGTCATCCGGTCCTCGCTCCCGCGTCGGCGCTGGTCTGGGGAGACCCTGTGGTGAGAGGCCGCAGATAACTCACCGAGACCCAGCTCCTCGGCGCCTGGACATCGCATGCTCCTCTGCATCGTCCTGCAGACCCGTGGACTCGGGGCCAGGGCCGCAAGCGGCCCGGCTGCGGGCGGACGTTGTGAGTGAGGCTGGTTGTTGCTCGGAGCCTGGCGGAGATACTATTAATATTTCAGCTTATCTGCAGAAGATGACTCAGCCAGCGTCCTTTCTGAAATAGCCGTTCACCATTGGCTCGCTAGAGAAACGAAATCAGCTGCTCACTGCGAAAGGCTTTCTGGCTTTGAGCCAGGCTGGGAAATCTGCATAGCAGATGAGTTCAGCTCCCACTGGGCGTGAAAAGCTTACCGCAGTGAATCAAAAGCATGAACGCATTGCTCTCCTATCTGGGTCACCTTTCTTGCTCCTTCCTTTAAAAACTAAACTGAGCCCTCAAATTCAAGAAGCACTATTATGATTGTTAGACAAGAAACAAATTTAACCTATTTGGTGATCCAAATAACCAAAAGGCCCTAACCAGTGTGGGTCAATGAATAGATTGTTGGCCTGCAGACAGAAGAGTCCCAGGTTCGATTCTGGTAAAGGGCATGTACCTTGGTTGTGGGCACATCCCCAATCGTGGATGTGCAGGAGGTAGCTGATAGATGTTTCTAACTCTATCCTTCCTTCTTCCTCTCTGTAAAGAAATCAAAATAACATTTTTTAAAGTATCCTATCTAATACAGGGACTATGCTAATTGACCATCACTCCATCGCAAAGATAGCTACACCCACAGCTGAGGCCAAGTTTCCAAAAGGAGCCTTAACCAGCAATCAGCAGGGACCTGAGGCTACACCCTCCCCCACCCCCATGGGGCTTGACAGGGGACCACAGGCTGTGTCCCCCACCTGGCAGGGCTTGACAGGGGATTTCAGGCCACGCCCCACACCTGGCAGGGCTTGATGGGGGACCTCAAAGTGCACTTCCCATCCTGGTGCTGGGCTAGGGGACTTCAGGCTACTCTCCCCCAACCCCCAGTCCCAGCACCAAGCCAGGGGACCTCAGGCCACACCCCCACCAGGTGGGGCTTGACAGGGGACTTCTGGCCACACCACCTGCCTTGGCACCAGGCTGGGGGACCTCATGCCATGACCGCCATCCTGCAGGGCTTGACGGGGACCTCAGTCCATAACCCCTGCCTCAGCACAGGGCCAGGGGACGTAAGGCTGTACCCCCCCTGTCTGGCAGGCTTAACAGGGGACCTCAAGGTGCACCCTCATGCTGGGTCAGGGGAATTCAAGCCATGTCTTCCACCCAGCAGGGGCTTGACAAGGGACCTGAGGTGGTGGTCCCCTCCTGAGGCCTGAGGCTGCGCCCCCTTGCCTGGCAGGGCTTGATGGAGACCTCAGGCAATGCCCCCCCACCCAGTGGGGCTTGATGAGATCTCAGGCCATGTGCCCCACCTGGCAGCGCTTGACAGGGGACCTCAAGGCACACACCCCGCCCTGCCCAGGTCTGGGCTGGAGGACACGCACCCCCTCCCCACCCCTCCCACTCACCCCCACCCCCCGCACCCTGTCTTAGTGCCAGGCCATGGAACCTTAAGCTACATCCCCTGCCCGGTGGGGCTTGACAAGGATGGGACTGGCTGGGTCTGGATCTAGCCCAGTGGTTGGAAAACTCATTAGTCAACAGAGCCAAATATCAATAGTACAATTGAGATTTCCTTTGAAAGCCAAATTTTTTAAACTTTAACTTCTTCTAATGCCACTTCTTCAAAATAGATTCGCCCGGGCCATGGTGTTTTCTGGAAGAGCCACACTCAAGGGGCCAAAGAGCCTCATGTGGCTCACAAGCAGCAGTTTGCCAACCATGGATCTAGCTCAATGGTGGGCTGGCCGGGTCTATGTCTCAGGATTTTGGGGTGCATGTGGGTGGGTGGGGACTTGATTCTCGGTCTATGGTGCACCCTAGACTCTGACAGGAGGAAGGTTTTCATATACATTTTACTAATTTTCTTTCATCTCTGACAATTCTATTATAGAGAAAGGGCAAATAGCAATATTAAATTATTTCCTCTAATCCCCTTTTAATGTGCACGAATTTCATGCACCGGGCCACTGGTATAGAATTAAACCCTTAAGTGATATCTGCATTAATATAATAAAAGCTTAGCGCTGGAAACAATTATGTGAGATGAACCAAGGCCTTCACTCTTAGAGGTTGTAGAAAACATTTAACAGTTTTATTTGTCATCTACTGTGCACAAGGACTTCTGCTGGGTATGGTCACTGATGAAAAGCTTTATGAACCACAGTATCTTCAGCTAATTCACATGCTAATATGTGGGTTTATTTTGCAACACGGCAACCAGAGTTTGGATGAAACAGAATATTATTAATTGAAGTATAATTAAGGTTCCACAAAAGTCATTGTAAATAATGAGTTATCACAAAACTAAGAAGGGTCTACTGTGTGCCAGGCATTCATATTTGGTAACTTGTTTAATCCTCAAAACAATATAAAGTAGAAATGATTCCAATTAAAATTCAAAAAGGTATTATGCAATGGAACAAAGATTAGATCAAAATCCAGGTTCATGATCTTTCCACCATGTATTCCTTTGAAAGCTGCAGAAACATAATACCACAAACTAGGTGGCTTAAGCAATAGAAATATATTAGAGCTCTGGCCTGTGTCATTCAATTGAGTTTCATCCCATGTACTAAGAAGTCATGGGTTTGATTCCCAGTCAGGGCACATGTCTGGTTGGGGGTTTGATCCTCATTAAGAGGCATCAGATCTCTTTCATTAATGTTTCTATCTCTCCTCCTCCTCTCTAGAAGCAATAAAAGCATATATATTAGAAGTCCAGGATCAAGGTGTCATCAGAGTTGGTTCCTCTGGCAGCTATGAGGGAGACTATTCCATGCCTCTCTTAGGGGCTATTTAGAGATCTGGCATTACTTGCCTTGTGGCAGCAATAACTCCAGTCTTCAGGTAGCATCTCTCTGTGTTCAGGCCCCTTCTCTTGGCATCTATAATAATAAAAGCATAATATGCAAATCGCCTGAACAGCAGAATGACCATCCAGATGACCACCCTATGACACACCCTGGCGCCAGGCCAGCTAAGGCAGGTGCAGTGTGATTGGTCAGGAGTCAGGGGCCCTGCCATCGGCCCTCAAAGGGAGGCCCAAGCCACCCTCTGCCCAGTGATCAATCGCAGAGCCCCAGCCAGGTGGGCACGGCCTGCCTTTGCACAGCATCCATGGCGGAGCCCCAGGATTGATAGCCTCAAAGAGGGAGGCCCAAGGTAACCAACAGGTGGCACTGTGGTGGGTGGGCGGAGCTTCCCTCTGCTGGGCAATCTATTACCCCACAGGGGAAGGCCCAGGTCAGCCAAGTGATTTCAGCCCATGCCTGAAACCTGTAGAGGGAAGCTAGCAGTGACTGGGGGGGTGAGGGGGGTCCCGAAGAGCTTGCCATGGCACAGATGACAAGCAGTGATAGCAGTGGGGGTGGGGCCAGCTGCCAATAGCCAGGGGAAGGAAAGCCCTGATAAGCCCTGATTACCAGCTGGGCCTAAGGACTCTACCTGCCAGGTCCCAGATTGCAAGAGGGAGCAGGGTGAGCTGAGAGATACTCCCCCACACACACATCCATGAACAAATTTCGTCCATTAGGCCTCTAGTTCTTTTTATAAGACATATTGGAAGATCATACCGGATTAGGGGCCCATCCTACTGTGACTTTACTCCTGTACAACAACTCTATTTCCAAATAAGGTTACATTCTGAGGTTCTGGGGGTTAGAATTTCAACATATAAATTGGGAGGCGGGTACAATTCAACCTTTAACACACTGTATTCTAAAATTACTATATAACTTTTTTTTAAGTTGTGATTGTCATCCTGGTTATCTATTTGCTCTTGCAGAAACTGTAAGGAGTACCCTTCCCATAAAATAAATTCCTATTTTGTCACATGCCTACCAATGCAAAAGCATATGATTTATTCCCATCAAGAAGGAAATAAGAATAATTCCGTTTGGAAGTGTCTGTGAGCTCGCTTGGACACCATGAGCAAAGCTCACCCTCCCGAGTTAAAAAAATTTATGGACAAGAAGTTATCATTGAAATTAAATTGTGGCAGACATGTCCAAGGAATATTACGGGGATTTGATCCCTTTATGAATCTTGTGATAGATGAATGTGTGGAGATGGCAACTGGTGGGCAACAGAATAATATTGGAATGGTGGTAATACGAGGAAATAGTATCGTCATGTTAGAAGCCTTGGAACGAGTATGAAGAATGGTGGTAGTTATCAGAGAAATCAATTGCTTCCACATATCCTCTCTCCACAGCACCTGATTTACTACAATATAAAAATAGAGTCCTGTTCATTTTCACATTGAACTTTTGTTAAATAAACCTTTGTATTGATTAAAAAAAAAAAGGAAATAAAGCTGAATTTAGTAAGATTCAATAATGAGCATGATTGATAGGTAGATGAGGTTTGCTGGTATTCAATCATGGACTTCATTACTGATTATTTGATCTGTACCTCAAATACCTAAGTATATAGGGTTAAGCTGGTTAATATGTCACTTCATGATCAGTCTCAAGTTGTTGTGGGGTTGGACCCTGGGTTCAAAATAAGACCACCGGAGGCTGATGATTGATTTTAAAAAAGCAGGCAAGGATTTATTGAAAAACTGGCCAGGTCAGCTGTGTGAGCACCACATGCAAGTGGAGTCCACACAACCACACTGTTCCAGGTGTAGACAGTACTTTTAAAGGTTCAAACCACAGGAATTTTCCTTTGTTCTAAATTCTTTCTCTTTTTTTCTTTCTTTTTTTTGGATTTTTGCTTTGGTTTACTGTTTCTTTTTTTTCTTTTTTTTTAATCAATCTTTATTGTTCATATTTTTACAAAAGTTCCTAATTTTTCCCCCCTCCACCAGGTTCCCACCCTCTGCCCTTTCCCCACCCCCCATTGTCCTCATCCATAGGTGCACAGTTAATGTTCAGTCCCTTCCGCACCCACCCTTTGTTCTAAATTCTAAAGGCTGGGAACAGTGGAATGTGGCCCTATCTTGCGATAGCCGATAATACAGAAACAGAATTCAGCAATTAATCTCTAAAGATTATCTATATAGGTTATCTACAGTTTCTACCCTTGAAGCTATTGAGTCAGTGGGAATCAATCTCCTGTATTTCTGATAAAATTGCCTTAGCAAATATGCAAGGAAGACATTTCTGAAGGTTATGTTTTCATTCTTTGAAATTGCTTTGGGGCCGAAGCTGGTTTGGCTCAGTGGTAGAGTGTCGGTCTGTGGA